CAGGTCACAATTAGCAAGATATGCTTGAAAACAGCCAAAATCAAAACGAGAAATTGAGCAATAGTGCTGCTAGAGCGCTGCAGGAGAGGGGGATCTGCTGAGCTGAATTTTGGCAGCTTCTCCTGTACTTTGTACTTCTTCCCTGCCAAGAGGACAGGCATGGGGGGCACCAGTGCTACAAGATCCTGTATTAGCGCCACTCACATTATTTACCAGCTATCTGACTTGCAGACACACCTTAGACTTGCTCATTGTTATCAGCAATACTGAACTAATCTACTAAAAATGACAGAAAATAATTACTTCTTTCATCTATGTACATACAAATATGACAGTAGATGTTTTTCGGTCCCTGTAATTTTCTGTAATTAATGGAATAGTTACCAAATGTCCATAAAACCTTGGACAAAAAGCTTTAATTTCAAAAAAAGGAAAAAAAAAGTGCAAATTAATTCAAGGGATTTCCTTCGAACAAAGCTGCCAGACATCTGCAACTTCCTCTGCTTCTAAAACCTGGATACTATTAAACTAACACATGAATAAAAAGCAAATTTCTTGTTCAAATTATAGCAGTATTGAATAATCATGCACCAGAATTTCAGAGACTTTTGTCAATATGAACTGACCAAAAAAAAAAAAAAATCCCACTCCAAGACAAGCTGGAATGCTTTAAAATACCTCCCACAACACTTGTGCATATTGATAAATGACAGCTACTCAAATTTAAAGTACAGTATTAAACACATCTACAAATATGTCAGGAATGCAACGATCTGACTTTAGAAAGTTGAGATTCTGAACGTACAATTTTCTTTTCATTGCTTAGTTTCCTCTCTAAACCTTAACACAGACAGACGGTATTCTGAACAATAACAGGGTTATGCATCTAAATCACTCTGCAGAACTTTTACTGTGGAAAATAAAAAAACACTGATTCAACAAGCATCAGACTGAAGTTTCTGAATCACTAGCACAATATTTTGAAGTGCTATTGCTACTATTTAGAATTGATGAAGTGATCCAATCCCACGAATGTTTTTCCCCTCTCCTCCATGACATATGAATGTCATTTACATTCTTTCAGGATAAAAAAAAAAAAAAAAGAGAGAGAGAGAGAGAAAAAAAAGAAAAAAAGGTAATTCCTCACCCATTTCCAGTGACTAAATCCAACCTACCACACATAGTTGGCCAAGAAACTAGGAAAGAAGTGTTTGGGCCATTTGATTTGCAATTTGTTTTTGATTCCTTCAGATTCCTAATGTTTTTATATCACATTTTTCCTAGACAGAAATGTGTCTCTGAATCTTCAGCTATTTATAGACACAAATTCAGCCTCTCCCAGCTCCAGCCAGTACGCAAACGCTTTTCAAACTTCACCATCTAACTCATGTAACATGTTTAAACAGACTCAAAGCTTCATAACAAACCTCAGTGGGGAAAAAAAAAATAAAATAAAAATACAGCTCCATGCTCACTGCAGTAACACAACACACTGAAGTACTAGTGGTGATCACCTCTCGAACGAGTAAACTCAGCGAGGGAACTCATTCATGAAAATACACGTAGTGAAGCTGAAAGAGCCGCTGCGACACTCTGATAGCAGTGAGTGCGCTGCAACCCAAAGGCAGCAGCTGCTTTCTGAGGAGCACAGCTGTTCTCTAGCAGCCTGGGCAGGGGCCACTCACTGCAGTGCTACACAGCAGCACAAGCTTCCTGTGCGAACAAGGTATTTCCCAAGCTTGCCAAGGATCTCATGACTCTGTGAATGAAGTGCTCTACTACACACAATACCTATCACCAGGATACGATACTTCTTGTGGACCTCATGAGGCACTGGGAAGAAACATAATTTCTATGCATAACATTTTTGGAGACTTGGTTTCATGTTCAGAATAAATTTGTATTTCAGTAAACATGGTGAGCACTCCACCAGCAACCTCAGCATGAAGTGAATTCATAAATGTATTCACACACCTTCAGGCACTCCTGAAGAGCAAGAGCAGTAATAAGAAAAAGTGGCCTGCAAATGCTTTAATTTGAGTAGTTTCCTTTGCCATGGGGACCAGCAGTGCAAACACGTTTTCATTCAAGGTCCGCTTCATTCACAAGCCTGTCTAACTGCCTTCGGTTCAGTGCAGGGGGGCAGGAAGGGAGGAGCAGTGAAGACCTCCTCACTACTCCATTATCTTCGAGGAATACAGTCTGATGTTCAGAGCAGTGTATGGCTTCAGTAGGGAATGCGTGCAGCCAGTGCTGCTTGCATGTGAAGGACAGGTACTTAAAACTGGTTTCGAGCTTAAAAGGTGACAGGCACTTGTATACTCTGAGGACAGCACGTGCAAAACATGCAAGATGCTGATGAGAGGAAGCCACTTGTACAATGAGAAAAATCAGTTTGGTGACCTGCAAAAACAGCTGAACAAGTACAAGCACGTCTGAAGTTCTCACTAACTAAAACCTGCAAGTTTAATTTTTATGAATCGGGCTGTCAGTCATGTAAAGTAAGTTCAGCGATTAATGACAATAAAAAAAAGGACAGTGATGAGAAAATGACCTAATGGATCAAGACACATTGATCTAATTTGTTATTAACTAACTGCCATTAGGTGAAAGTCAGGAGGGAGGAGCCAAACACCAGGATAACAGTCAACAGAATCTTTCCTCTCAATCATTCAGTTTCTTTTGTTTGTTTGTTTTGGTTTTATGTTTCAGAAAGAATAAGAAAAAGAAAAGAAAGAAAAAGGTATCCTTCTCTACATGCTGAAAGGTCTTTGGTACATGTTACCATTGATAAAAATAAATTAAAACCCACATGCAGAAGTGTTTAATTGTAAGAACAAGCAAACAAATACTACCAGCCTTGTTTTGCACTCTTCTGGCCTTCATGCCTGTAAACTTTCTTAGCAACTTTAAGTGCATTAATTACCACATTCTAGGGAGAGAATAATCCTGAACATCCATTACAGCTTCTCCCTTGCTAATAGGAATTTTACTAGAGAACATACCATGCAGATTTCCATGCCTAGAAGGAGTTACATCAGTTTTTCCTTCTTATTAAATACCTCAAATAAGATTAATGATGATTTCTTTTTAACTGCATTGATACATGCAACCACAGCCAAGATGCAGGACAGAATGCTCACCTATTTTTTCTCCTCTTCTGTTTTGCTCTTCTTCCGTTTCACTCCTGTTCCCATACTGCCAATAAAAAATTCAAGGATGGCCAGACCATTGGCCACACTGACCTGCGTGTCCGGCCACTGCTCAGTTCAGAAGTTCACAACTGCCTCTCCCCATGCCGCATGTCAGTTTCACCAAGTTTCATCTCTAAACTCTTCTCCATCATCTAGACCAGTTGGGAATTTTTCTTTCCTCCACCTCCTTCCTAACTTCCTCTCTTCCCAAATTTGCTCTCTGAAAGTAAATTTCTTTTGGAAAACCTTCCTTGTTGCTACATTCCTTAGTCAGATGGAACACACTGTTCAACTTTTTGCATTGATGTAACAAATAAAGAGATGAAGATGAGGAAAACAACATATGGAAAAGAAATGAGAATCCCAAATGAAGGCTAATCATATGGGGAGAAGACTCCCTTGACAGTATTTCAAAGCATTGAGCAAACCGGAATGCTGGATATGCTCATAAAGAGAGATTTATTAGGAAAAACAGAGAGCTTGGGTGTTGTCCACTGGGATGTTTGCATATCACCAGAACACCAATGACCAAATTCAGCACAGACAACATTCCAAATTAATGCCCACTAAGTTCATTTCCCATTTCCTTGAAATAACAGAAACTCCCCCCCAAAACAGAAGTTTGCAACAGAGGCTCAGAGTAACTCTTTCGTGCCTTCCATTTCATAAAAAGGCACTAAATGGTCATTTACACAAGGCTTCCCCAAAAGACCTAAGCCTTTTCAATCAGCTGCTCCAGTCTAATCCATGGACCTTATACATAAATTAAGTGAACGTGATAACCACTACACTAAGAGGCAAAAAGTACTCACTTAGTGAGTGCTAACTTGGTTAGGTAATATTTTTGTTATCCTGATCATATGTTCCACTGTGCAAGGCTCCAGTGAAGGAAGCGGTTTCTCCAACAGGCAGATTAAGAATCACATATGCACCACATATGCCTGTTACATCAACGTATTGAAACCGCTCTAGGATACCCTGCCTGTAATATCCAAATAGGATATTCTTCAAGATATTCTTCAAGTCTGCAATATTAAGTTAAGTTAGTAGTCCAAACAGGACACATTATGAAGATATACTTTATAAAATACTGAAATAACATAGCTAAAACCTGAAATCTTTAATATAATGAAAATTGCTTGTACAGAGAAGTCTTAAAACTTCACTAGCCTCCCACACACAGAGGGAATGCTCCAAAGCACAGAGCTCCACACAGCCAGACATTTTTGAATTAAGTAATTTTTAACAGAGTAGTTTTAGCTAAAAATTAAAATATAACAGATTTGCTCTCCCAGATGCTAGGAGACCAAAATCTGTGCGTGTAACTTGGATGCTGATCACAGAATGCGCATAGTGCCATGGAAAGCCACGGTAGTGATGTGAACTACTGGATACTGGCTCTAAATGCTGTTCAAAGCACTGAACATCATACCCAAAAGACCAACTTTTTCTTATGGGAGTCAGAAGTAGGAAGTTTTCATAATATATTCTAATTCCATTTTTTCATTTCCTACATGGAAAAAGCTCAGCTCATCTGTGACTCCGTTTTTCCCTTCATGAAATCATAATCATACGTGTTGGTTATGTATAGGGACTGCTTAGAATTCCTAAATATCTGGCGCTAGATAACTAATATTACACACCTCCTTTCAGTGTTCTCCCAGACACTTTTAAAGCAGGTTTACAAAAATATTCGTAAAAATAATAAAATAAATGCTTCACTTTTGGTCCTAGACAACATGAACATCTACCACAACAAGAAAACAGAGCTGTGATAAAAATGGAATATAGAAAGCTCAGACTTACATTTGTGTTGCACAGTTTATACTGCTTGTAGGTGCCAATGCACACAATAGCTGCGGCCCGCTGAGGCTGAACCACCTGGTGGGATGCAGGACCATGATGGTTTGAGTCGCTGCTATGAAACAAACTTTGAGATGCAGGAAATGAAGTTGACTGATAAACTGAGGGCCCTATGGCCTGATGTCCAGCCTGAGGTCCGCTTTCTTCTTGATAAAGATTCCCATGTTGCAGTGAAGGATTAGCTGCCTGGCTGTAAGTGTTCCCAAGACTCGAACTCTGATGAAATACATGGTTCCTTGATGATTGTCGCTGCCTCCGAAGTTTCTGAGGCTGCTGACCAGTATCAGTTTGCAAAGGTAAAATATATGGCACTTTTCCATATCCATACTTTCCTGGGCCAATAGGATTTCTGCTTCTGCTTCTAAAGACACAGAGAGAAAGACAGAACAGTTCACTCATAAGTGAAGAAGCAGCTAGATACATATACAACTCTTTGTCCAAGTTACTCTAGAGATTTGGATAATAACCGAAGAAAAATTGAAGTCAGTATGCACAAAAAATTCTGTGAAAAACCACTAACAAAGATTTTGTATCTATTTAAAAGGTTTCCTGTGTTTCATCTGATAATAAATATTTTTTTTAAAAAAAGAGACAGAAAAAGGATGAAGAACATCAAAATACTACTAAAAGACTCCTAGAAAAAATGACAAACAGAAAAACAGATATGCATTAAAGGTGCATTCAATTAATAAATTGTGAGCTCCCAATTTATGCAGTTGGGATATAAGCCCACTTTTCACTACAGCAGCTTACCAGCACAGAAGTGCTTTTTGGTACACAGACCAATTTTTCCTTACTCCAGACTCCACATTTTGGGCAATGAACCATATAACAAACTAGGGGCTAGAAGTACTGGAAGTGCCAGCGTAAGGAAAAGCTGAGGCCACGAAAGCTGTGTTCCTGGAGAGCCTCCAGGAGCCTCCTAGGCCACCTGCAGCACAGCCCCATGTCCCTGCCCTGCTCGAGGGCACCTTACACTGAGCACAGCATCGGCAAACAAGCTGGGGATCAGCCACTCCTCAGCCCCCGGGCTGCTGGAAGGGGAATGCTGCTCGGGCACTGGGCTGTACAGCAGGACGTGAGCGTGGGGCTGGCAGGACGATGCAGGGGGACGATTCAGGCAGCGGTAGGTAGGGTGGCCCAGAGCGGTGCTGCCTGGTCGGGCGGCCTCTGAGCCAGCAGGGAGCACTCTCAGCCAGCACATGCTCCCTGGGGAAGGGTCGGAAGCCTTCTACATTCCCACAGCAACGGATGGGACTCAGCCCACAAACTCAGCTCCAGCTTGGCAGTGGAAAAAAAAATCACAAAACGAATAAAACCATGTTCAGTTCACACCGTTCAGGTAGGTTAATCTTGGCATTTTATCTGCAAGCAATGAGTCCATTTGGATTTGTTTTCCCTGTCACCCTGTACAGCTCAGCATCACATCAGATCTAGACTTCTAATGCTGCAGTCTGAAGAAATGGAGTTGGCAAAGAAAAATCTTCCAGTTCAGAGCCCTGTGAATGTGTGAACACAGCTGTTCTTGGGTAACCTCTGCAGCTCAAGAAAGGAGACACCCTTGAAAGAAGGTCATTCTCCTCCTGTCCATAAAATGTATTTTTAATATATATAAAATACATTTGAACTGCAGTGAAAACTAGCGGTTATAAATTGACACACTTATTTTCTAGAAACTGAAATGTTACAGATGTCGGACAACTACAGATCAAAGGCATTTCTATGGGCTTTTTTCCTCTCTTGTATTTATTTTTTTTCTTTTCTTACATGGAAACCTTGGCAGTCATTTACTTAACATTCTAGCTTTATGGACATGTTGGCCTCTTAATCAATCCCCCTGGCTCAAGGATGGAAGGAGAGAGCGTGCTGATTTCCCTAGCAGGTAACTTGCTAGCACTCTGGAGCTCTGCATACCAGGTAATGTGCTCTGTGACAGTGATGGTCATTGCTGAGACAAGGATTGAGGTAGCTACGGTAGAGAAAAGGAATACAGACTAGCTTTGTGGCATTAAAGAAGGATAAAAACCCTCAAGAAATGAAGGACAGGAAAGGAAGGGGACCGAGACGATTTATGGACTGGACCTGGTTCAGAAGTCAAGATTAAAAAACAACCTGATTTAAATGAGCATAGTTTGTTTGTTTGTTTGTTCTCCAGATCAAGCCGTTAATGTCCCCCAAGACACTGCCATCTCTCATTTTTAACATAAAACTCTTTACTTCTGAGCAAGAATGAAACTAAAAGGAAGAAATAATATTTCTTTCTTGAGATTTCTAATCATATTTTGTACTTTAGGAACACTTTGGGATCTTAGTTCACATGAAGCATTTAGATTTTGGAGCAATTCACTTTATGTGGAAAACAGATAGAATTCCTTATTCTCAATTGCCCCAGCCTCTAATGATTCTGACAGACAGAAAATCTCTTCTCAAGCTGACCACAGTAGATTGAGGTGTCTGAGATATGAACAAACCTTGGCAACAACTCCTGGCAGTTTGAGAGCTCCCTATTTCAGCGCGTGGAGCGCGGGCTGCGCAGGGTGGTATTCCTAGATGGATGAGAGCACTCGGCATCCCAGCGCCCTTACAGGGGTGGATGGAGGGTGGCAGGTCTACAAAAATTAGGGTTGGAGTCTATGATCTATAATCAGACCCTCGCATCTGGCATCAACATGAGAAGAAAACTGAGCAATACCATGTGCAGGCCATCTGGAGCAGTAGGAATACGCCTCTCAGCCTGCTTAGCACCAAATTCTTTGCAGCAAACGAATGCTAGCAAACGAATCTTGCACAGACAAGCAGCGAGATACGGCATCTGATCCTCCTGGAGGAACTGCTGCCTGGCACAGCAGAAGAGCTCACAAGCAAGAAGTCAAATACAGGACAGATGTTTGACTGTTAATCTCTAGTTAAAGATCATGAGTGGGAATTGAAAGAACCAAAGCACATGCAACAAATGTGATATAAACTAGGACTCCTTAGCTGAAAAAAAGATAATGAAATGGGCATATGTTGGTTTTAAATATAGCCTGCATAATAGCTGAAAGATAGACCCATAGTTGAAGGCCAAAAGTGTCCATAAGCTATTAGAAACTCACCAAATTCTTAAAAAAAAATGAATCGACCCAGAGAGAAGTCTTTTTTTTTTTTTTCTTGTAAAATGGTTGATGGCTGCAACAAACGTTAACAGTTGATGCAAAGTGAAAGAAATAACATTCTCCCTGTTAATGTCTGTCTCATCTTGACTTCTTTTTCTACACTTTAACCTGGCAACATAGCAGATGTCCCAACTTACAGAGAAATAAGGCAGCATTGCTGGCAGCCAAAGGTGCTAGGACCCTTATGATGAGGTGTTCATGGCAGCATCAAGGCTCACCAATGAGTTCTCTCCTTTGCCCTCACCTCTTTCCTTAAGTCGCCCACAGCAAGCAGGGCTAAAGTAACCCAAAACTTTGCAGTGTGGCACTAAATACAAGTTTCAGTTTGCTCAGGTTGTTCAGTAATTATGATCTGGAATTTCACTGGAACGCCCTTCCTATGACATGGAATATTAACTTCATGCAGCTAGGAACGTCACATTTCTTTCAACATATAAATGGCTGGAAACAAAGCGTAACACACAACCTCTAATTATTAACATCTTTATCAGTGTTCAGGCACTTATTTAAACCCATATTGTCTGGAATGAAACTATTCAACACGCGGTTTGTTTTGCCTTCAAGCGCCTTTCTTTCACATTTGGCAACATCCTTAGAAATTAGGAATGCAGTTTGTTGCAATGTAATTAAGAACCCTATAAAATAGCTTGCCAGTAATTAGCTTTTATATTTTGGGGGTACACCAGGTAAAATCGATAATGACACACAGCAACGGCAGTGGGACTGTTATGCGGATCCATAAATGGGGAGAAAACAACAGGGAGAGGGGAAACGGGAGAAGGCAATGGGGAGAAAAAAAAAAAAATCAGATAAAGACTTTCATTAGAAATTAACCTGCCTTGCCAACACTATTTGTTTTATGCAACTACTTGCAGGAGGTGGAAGCAGGCCAACCCTGATGGCTTGTGAGGAATTTTGAGTTGCCAGCAGGACTTGTTCTTACCTACCCTTCTCGTGACCCGCATTACTCACTCCTCACTACAGCAGGATTTGGAAACTCCTGCGCCGTTTGGTTTACTCTGAAGAATTCTGCATTATACTTTTTGTTAGGCTAAGGATATTGACCATCCTACACACTATCAAGACGCAGGTCAGAGTTGGGAGGCATTCTCATGTAATACAACAAGCTAAGGAGGAAAAAGGAATCAGCAAGTGATAGCATCCCCTGAGCCTTGTTCCTAGCTGGCCAGATAAGGACTAGACTGAGGCTTCGCAGCAGTCAACTGTACATGCCCAGGTATGCTGGAAACTAAGACTCATCCTTCTGAATGCAGCAATGTTAAGAAAAGCATCTGAGCAGGATGTCGAGGATGTGTTGCTACAGGAGTAACACGGACTGTGTGAACCCCGGTCAGCAGCTCTCAAACCCCCTGGAAGTCCTGTTTGAGCAAGACTTGAGTTTTAGTCACAGCTTTGACAAAGTTTTTCCCAAAAGGTGCTAGATCCTGTCTTTATGTAACTGTGGTTGCCCCAGCATTACTGGGAAACAATTACATGAGCCTGGGGGCAGGAATGAAGCCCAAAATTCCCATCAGCACAAGAGCTCCCAAAATAGCTGTATTCATACAGGATTCTAACATATTTCCCAAACCTGCAACATGCTGCACTGCACTGATATATCTAAGATAAAAATGAACCAATATAAACTCTTCACAAAACCTCTTTGAATAAGACAGTAGTAATTTTAGATTGCTTCTGTTAAGCACAGTTATGAGGGAGCAGCTTTGTTTATATATGGATTTACTTAGCTTTAAAACTCTGAGCTGAAACACTGAGCATGAGAACAACTGCAGTGTTGAACTCCAGTAGAGAGGTCAATCACTGGTGCTAAAATATCAGCATTAGCCTCTCAGAACTGAAGCATTTAACGTATCAGTATTTTGCTGCTCACTTAACTATGCAATAGAGTTTAAAAAAAAAAAAAGAAAAAGAAAAATGAAGAGGAACCCAGCTCCCAGGGAGCAGAAACCACCAAATGTCTGACAAACAGGTACTGAGAGAAAGAAATCTGGCAGAGTCATTTCATAATTCTCTGAAAGAAAAGGAATTTATTTTAACTGGAAGGAAGGTATTTTAACTGCTGAACTCAGATCATCCTTTCCACAGGATTGTTCAGTGTTTCTCAGTCATGTTAATTCAGTGCTCCTTTTGCACCTGCTTGGACTCTTTAGGATGTTAAGCTATCAATTACCATCTAAAAAAGTGC